ATGGAGCATATAATCATTGCAAATGTCAACCTAGGACTCAAGAAGCATGTATGTCATGTAATAAAGACTAAGTGGAATGCACGGTTGCAAAACACTTCAATCCAAAGCATGTTATGACAGACAAGTTCAAGAAAGAATCATGGACATGGTATGCAACTAGATGGCATATATATGAATGATGCATAGATATCAACAAACTTCAAACAAAGAAATGTCCCGTACTCTAATGTAACAAAATCAAAATCTTATCATCCCTCATGGCTCATGACCCCCTCTAAGGCTTAAATGAAATAAATAATGGTCAAAAATTGAGAATATAAGAAGCTTACCAGCTTAGAGTCAAAATCTGGACCGAAAAGAACCTTGGTCATAAGCCCTTACTTGGCTCTTAGAAATGGATCACAAGTACATGATATCAACAAATGGCATTTAAACAGATAATTAGCAAGACAAAACAAATATATTCTCAGACTTATGTCAGATTGCATTTTAAAATTCAAGTGAAACTCAAGAAGTGATACTAAGGCCAAAGAACACAAACCACAACCAAATCATGCATTTTAAACTCCAAAAGTCTATAACATACCCCCAAACTTAGGCAAAGAACAATCCTAAGAAAATAGATTGGAAATATTCAAAAACTCTCAGAAACTATCAATATGACATAAGTGCTTGCAAAATGATGTATATACAAGCAACAAGTTGCAATTATTCCAAAATGCACACAATTATTCAAAGAGGAACACATTTGACAAGCTTCAATGTCATTAAGCAACAGTGAAATCATTTGACTTCAAACAGTTTGATTAGAATGGCAATTTAATTCAATTTGCAAGAGAAGTTCAAAATCATGACAATGAAGGTTAGAAAATAACAAATTTGTGCCCTAGTATGGCAAGAATCAAGAATTGCATCACAAACAAGTTCAAATGCACTTAAAACATGCAAATGGATGGGAAAAAATCAAATGGAACAAGCTTCAACTTAAACAAGGGTATTTTGGTCAACTTTGAAATTATTCTACACTTTTGGGGTAAAATTGGAATTTTTTGAAATTTTGGAGTCAAAATATTCAATTGCATTGTATAAAAACTTCATAACAAAGAATCATGTAATGAATGAACAACAAAAGAAGGAATCATGCACTCGGCTTCTCATTTTCAAAACAAAGTTCAAAGTTTCATTTTCAATCATTTGAAACCCAACAAGTATGATCACAAAGCATTTTAACATTCAAAGATGATTTTACCAAAACGAGGCACTTGAATCATAAGCTAAAGTCAATTGAAAATCAAAACTTTTCAAAGAGGTCCATTTGAAGTACTTTTGAGCATTTAAGACAAGACTTTGCAATTTCAAGTTCAAAAACACAAATTCAAGTCAAGTCATGCTTGCAATCAATTAAGACAACTTAGAACACATCCATGCATTTCATATTCAAGACAAGCAAATGAAACAAGATGGGACTTTGCTCACAACATTTCAATTTTTCAATGCCATTACAAGTTCAAAAATATGTCAAGTCCAAAGAAATTTTCCTTTCATTGAAATCTCAAGACAAGAATTTCATTTTGACATTCAAATTTGCAATTCAAATCAATAATAAAATTTGATCAATCAATATATTTCCAAAGTCAAAAACTATGCATGTCAAAATAACTTGGATTTTTAAAACAATTTGCAAAGAAGTTGACATTTTTCTTTCTTTTCAACTCAAAACCAACATCTTAATTTCAAAACCTTTCCGAATTCCAATTCAATTTTCAAGAGAACAAACCACATGCCTTTTGGAAATTAAAAACAAAGTTCAATTTTAATTTTTCGAAAATCCGACATGGTTTCCCTTTTAAAATGGACATTTCCAAAATTTTAAACATAACAAATATTCATGTATTTCCATCAACAATCAAAAGTATATATAATTCAAATCAATCTCATTCAATCAATCAAGAAGGGACACTGCCCATAATCAATCCACAAAAATAAGTAAAGTGTGCCCGTTCTCCTTCTAAACTACTCAACAACATTTCACTCTCTATTTTCAATGTAATTCCATCACCATGTAACCAAAATCAAAGGCAAGAGTGCTCCAAAATTTTTCTTATAAACAATTTTTAGTATTTTCAATTTTTTTTATTTTTATTTTTATTTATTTATTTATTTTTATCTATAAGAATATGAACAAGTGACAATAAAAATGGAAACTACAAAATAAAATTAAAATTAAAACAAAACAAAATAAAACAAAGAAAATAAACAATAGAATAAATAATAATAAAAAAATTAATTTGGAACATACCCAATCCAAAGGAGTGAAGAGAAAAGTGAAACAAAAAGATTCGGGCAAAAATGGGGTGTTTCGGCCTCACCGTGCCCCAAGAAGACGACCGGAGACTCGTTGGAGTCTCGCTGGAAAATTCAGAGAGTTGCCGGAGCTTGGAATGAACTCTCCTTGGCCTAAATCGGCCGAAGATGATGAATATGAATTTACCGAGAGTGAATAGAGAGGTAGAAATGATGGATTTGGCCTTTGGGGCTAAAAATCCTTGCCAGAAATGATGGAGGACGGCGGTGAAGTGGGAGTTGCTTGGGTTGCTGCCGACGGTGGAAGAGAAGAGGGTGAGGTGGTATGGTGCTCGGTGGTGGAGATAGAGAGTGAGGTTAAGAGGAAGGGAAGAATGGAGAATCGGGGAGAGAGGGAGAGTGAGGGTTGGGTCGAGAGAGAAAACGAAGAGAATGAGAGGGAGAAAGAGAGAGAAGAAAGAAAGGAAAAAGAAAAAGACAAAGAAAAGAAAAATAGGGGAGGAGGGAAGAAAAAGAAAAAGAAAAAGAAACAAAAAAAATAAAAAAATTAAGGTTAGAAGATGAACGGCTAAAGCCTTTTCCGGAAATTCAAATGATGCATTTTTGATCGATAGAAGGACTTCGATCAATTGAAAACTTAGTTTCGATCGATCGTAATGGACTTTGATCGATTGGAATGAACTTTGATCTATCGAAATGGAATTTGAAAAGTCTTTAATCCAGTGGGTTCGATCGATCGAAGTGGAATTTTGATCAATCAAGCTGAGTTCGATCGATCGAAACCTCACTCGAAGTGCACAAAATGTAGGAAGTTTTCTGAAAACTGGATTTTTCAATTCGACACATATCTAGACGACGTAGGAAATATCAAAATAAGAAATGAGGGAGGAATAGGGTTGGCAAACCCTACGAAACACACTAGTCTTTAACGTCTCTAGCAAGACATTGGGTTCTTTTAGCCCGGATTAAAAATTTTAAAATGCATCCCCTCCTTGGCGGGGTGAATGGAATTTTGAATCCCACCCAACAAACCATTCCATAAGGAACTTGTTGGATTTGATTCAAATGAAATTAATGGCCCTTTGTCAACAAAACCTTGGGCTTCCATGCCCTTTTAACGCTTAGTTTGAAAACACTTTCCTTTGAAATCTCTTTTGAAAGCAAACCATTTGTTATTTGAACATCAAGCAAAGACTCATTTTTGTCAAACTCACTTTCAAAACATTTTTCAACAACACACACATCTTCATGATTGTCCATAGAATTCGGGGCTGGATTAAAAATGATCAACTTCATTTTTATGTGACCAAATGAAATCTTCATTATCCCCGTCCTATAATTAATGTTGGCATTAGCTGTTGCCAAGAAAGGACGGCCAAGGATAACGGGAATTTGAATTTTGGGAGGGTGTTGTGTTGTAAAATGGAGCGTCCTTACTCAGTCAAAACAACTTTTTTCGGTACTTGGCTTTTGTTCTTCCTCTTAATTGTGCAAAGATTTTTCAAAAATTTGGCATAAGCTGGAATTTGTCGAATTGCATCAAAGAGAGGAAGATTAATTTTCACTTGCGTAAAGACATCAATTATTTCATTTGCTTTATTTTGTTGCTTTTCAAGAGAGGTGAATGCTTTCAAAGCATCCGAAAATGGAGCTTTAGGCTCAAAAACTTTCTTAAAATCATTTTTGGAAACATTTTCAACAATGGATTCTTTCACATGTAATGAAGGAGGAATATGATGTGAGACGGGACGGGTGTCAACTTTTGGTTGCACCGATTCACTCTCTTCATTAGGAACACCAACTTGATTATCAACAAGTGGTCACAGCATTAACATGTTCAATTGTTGCTTAGGTAATGGATTCAAAGGCATTTTCCCTTTTTCCCTAGCATTCAATGTACTAGCTATTTGCCCGACTTGGGTTTTTAGCATTGCAATCGATTGGGAATGAGAATGAAGCAATTAGGTATTTGCCTATAAAGTACCCAAAGCGATCAAAACTTTCTCTTCAAATGCGGGACTCCTTGAGAATATGAAGACTGGTTTGGAAAATAAGAGTTTAAAAATTGGTTTCCATGTGATGCTTGATAAGATGAACGATAACCTTGGGAACCTTGGCCTTACATTGGGGGCGGAACATACTTGTTTTGGAAATCACTTTGGGGAAGGTTTGAGCCTTCTCCTTAGCTTTTCCAAGAGAAGTTTGGATGATTCCTCTACCCGGGATTATAGTGAGTGCCATAGGGATTATTCCATTGGTTAACAAAAGTGGCATTCATTTGTTCATGATGTTCACTTTGCACATGTCCATTGGGACAATTGGACGTAGAATGTAAAACACTATAACAAGTCATGCATGATTCATTAGATGGATGATGAGTATGATTAGGGGAGGAAGACACTTGGTTCACTGAATTTTGGTTGATCAAAAATTGATAAAACCTTTGGGAGAAAGACTTCACTTCGGCGACTATATCATTAGAATGGTCAACTTGATATAAGCCGACATTCTTCTTTCCACCTAAATTTCTACCATTTTTAGATGATAAAGATCGATGCATTGAATTCTCACTCATATAAGCGTCATACATCATCTTTATGCCTATCAAGATAAGACCCACCCATGGAAGCATCAACCATTCCTTTATAATTATTCAACAAACTTTCAAAGAAAATTGAACTAATTGCCATTTCGGAATGTCATGGTGTGGACACTTCCTAAGCAAGTCGTTCAATAGCTCCCATGCCTCATGGAATAATTCCCCATCCCCTTGTGAGAATTCATGAATTAAAATTCTTATTTAATTGGTCTTTGATACCGGATAGTACTTTTTTAAGAACTCTTGTTGAATTTCTGCTTAAAAAGTTATCGAAAAAGGATTCAAATTGTTAAACTAGTATTTTGCTTTATCTTTAAGGGTGAAAGGGAAGAGTTTAAGTTTCAAAACCTCTTCCAGCATGTCCGTGTATTTCATGGTGGAACACACTTCAAGAAACTCATCCAAATACTTATAAGATTCTTCACTTGGTAGCCTATAGTAATTGGGAAGCATTTGAATTGTTCGTGGTTTAATTTCATAATGGTGTGTTCTAAATAGAGGTAATTGAATGCATGTTGGTGCATTATACACATTTGACACATAATGATCTCTTAATGTAAGAGGAGGATTCACAATTGGTGGCTCGACACGAGTACCATGATTTACTTGAACAATGGGAGGTGGGGGTGGAACAAAAAATGGCCGAGGCATTCCCAATGGAACTTGGCCTTCTTGTTATGGAATGAAAGGTCTTGGCATGCCTAATAGTACTTGAATGTTGTCATGATGCACATTAAGGTGAAGAATACCTTGTTGGTCGATGTGACTAAGGTCCTCCACATGGTCCTTGTTATGTTCCTCCATTGATGAAATGGAGTGACTAGAATTACCCCTTCCCTTAGGATTACGGACAATGGATTTAAGATTCAAATTAAGTGGGACAAGAATAGGATTTAACGACCTATGACATACGACCATGCATGCACAATCAAAACAAATAATAACTTAACAACAAGCACGTAGTAAGCACTTCTCCTCCGCAACAAATCAATCAACAAGCCTCCACATACATTGATCCCATACTCCCATGCTTTCAACAATATGTAAGAAAAATAAATTGCTTCCACGTGGGCTCACGATTTATCTAGGAAATTAAAACTTGCCACCACGCGGACCGACGATTTAACTAGAGAGAGATTTAGAAAAGCTCACAAAGGGTCCTTAAGCAACTTCAAATTAGTTTTCAATTTTTGCCTTGCTTTGCTTTGCAATTTTTTTTTTATAATTTTAGCTTTAGCTTTTAATGCTTTTGCTTTGCTTAGCATAGCTTGCTTCTTTGCTTTAAAATCCTTTTGCTTCACTTCTCTTGGCTCAATGCACCTAGCCAATCAAGAACAAACACAATAAGTAACTAAAATAAAATAAAAATAAAGACAAGATCAAAAGAGTATAAATTCCTAATTGATTCCAAAATACGGCGTGCCAATCCCCGGCAATGGCGCCAAAACTTGGTGTGTCGCTAATACCAAAGCATAAAAGTGTATAGTGTGGCCAAGTTTGAATTTATAGAATGCCATTACCACTACTAACCATTAATGTAGCTAGAGTAAGTAGGGATCGTCCCAAGGGAAATGAGTGGTACTTTTAGAATCAATGATGGATTAGTAGGTCGAATGATCAAAAGATGGTTTGATTTGATTAAGCTATTGGTTCAATTAAAATATTGCATACAAGTATCAATCTAGAAATTAGAGAAAGATATATGAGAAAGATGTCTTAAGGCTTAGAGTTCACCACTAAACTTCACTTTACCAAACACTAGCAATTGTAAATTAATGGGGAAATTCAAGTTGTAAAATGTGTGTGTGTGTGTGTCACTAATTGAAAACAAAGCATAATGGATGGCAAATAAGTATAGATTGTCTAGTCAATTTAGTGAATAGCATAACCTATCAAATTAGACCAAAAACCATTCAATTAAACCACAATTAGTGCACACACAATTATCTAGAGAAATGTACTCTTTGCACTCATGAGTATGGAACATCAAACAACAAGAATGGATTATCCACTTATCTAAGAAATTAAAGCAATTACACTACAACTAAGCTAGTGACATGAAAATAAAGCTAATTAAACTAAGGGTGTGGCACAATCCATCAAGAAATAAGTATGAACCATCAAATAATCCACAAAAGTATTCAATTAAGCACTATGCCTTGACCATCACTAGATTAACAATATCAATACGTATAGACATGCATCAATTTCATTAAATCTGCAAAAAAATACATGAACATTCATTCTATCATACATAGACATATGGATATAACTAAATGATCAATTGAAAGCATTAATTCATACAATTTAAGTCAAAATCACAAGATCTATATTTAGTTATGGTCAAAACATCTGTTACAACTAAAATCCTCAAAAATGTACAAAAGCTAGGTTTAGGAAGCAAGCCTAGGGGCTATCTCTAGCCCTAAGTGAAGGATTTAGCCACTCATTGTAGTGGTCATGGAACCCTCAAGAGCTAGCTTGGAGGTTGGTATCATCATCTTCATCCTTGCCTTTCTTCCCAAAACCCTAGTTCTAAAAACAAAACTACTTCTATCTAAAAAAATATCTATATCTATTCCTCTTAATGATATAAGATAATGTTCAATTAATTTATTACAAGCCACTTTGAGTAGGCACCAAGTTAGAAATACAGCCTATGATTGGAGAAAATTCGCAGTTACTCAAGTTAGGTAGAGTTCGGCGCGCTCGGGAATTAGACAGCACACTGCCAGTAGGCATCTCGATTGATCGAAGATCTTCGATTGATCAAACACTTAACTTCAATCGATCGAAGCTGACGTGACATTAAAAATATCTTTTAGACCTTGTCCACTTTGCTAAGCTAGCACCACCTCATTTCGATCAATTGTAGCCGACTTCGATCGATCGGGATTCCCTTCGATCGATCGAAGTTCCTCTGGTGCAATTTTCTTGGCTTCTTTCCAACTTTGCTCCTTAGCCTCAAAATTGAGCTAAATGGCTCTTATTAGCTTGTTTAAACTTTATTGATCAGAAATAGGTAAAAATACAAATAAGTACTAAGACATGAAATTAAGATAGATGAATGGACTGAAATACCCTAACTTAGGTGCTAAAATACGTCACATTTGAGCACTTATCATAGTGGCTGTAGTTGCACTAGTAGTGGAGCTAGCGTCGGAGGTGGTGGTTATGTTGTGTCGGTTGAGGAGCTGAGAGTGGGGGTGGTACTTGTGGCTAACGTTATTGGAAAGCCTGAATCTGTTGTGGGAGCTAGCATATTAACAAGGATGACCGATTAAGCTCACATTCCTTTTTTATCAAAATTCGATGTGGGATGAGTCCCTCTAACATTTGCTCTCACTCAAACTCGCGACATTCTCGTTGCGGTCGGACCACCTTGCTTACCCGACAGAGACTTGGGCAACCTCAACCATCCCTTGCCTCTAAATGCCATTTGTTGTGTGGGTTTGATTTGAATTAGGGGTTGTTTCTCCACTTAACTCAATTCCCTTCTTGTTCAGGAGGTTCCCTCGGCTGAGTTGTCCCTCGAACTAGCAAAGGTGGGGTCATTTATATGTGACTTTGATTGTTAGAGTACATGTTGCTGAATATTTGGGGGCTGAATATTCTGTTGAGCTTGAGGCATTGGTACAATATATGGTTGATTTATTTGTTGGTTAGCCGTAGCAGTATTTGATATAATATCAGATGGCAAAACGTAAGTTTGAAGATCACCCCGGGTTAACTTAAAAAAAAAAAAAAAAAAAAGTTGGAGATTGTCATTCCAAACCTGAGGTGGAAGATGTTGAACTATTATTGGTGGAGGATTTTGCACCTGAGGCTGCCCTTATAGTGGAACTTGCATATGTGGTGGTAGTGGCTGCGGTTGCTGATGCATACAAATGTATACCACTTTAAAAGTACCACTTATAACAATAGTACATATACATATCAATGTAGAATAAGGTTATTATAAGGGTTTGTCGAACCACAAGGAATGCTAGCTTATGGCAATTAAGATTGTAAGATTAATTTACGGTTTGATTTGTGAAAGATAGTTGTTGGATTATTTTGTTTGTCGCATACACAAACTGAAATTAACAAAAATTACTAAACATAATTTGAATATAAGTAAATGAGATAATAAAGATAAATGATAGGGAAATGACTTCACCACAAGCCTTGTAAACATGCCCAATTGCAATTAACTCGGGGAACAGCTTATACATGTAACCATGATATGTAGAAATGCAAGACAACTACAATATCTTTAAGAAGATCATACATTTCAGGACTAAATATAACCCATCTATGGTTGGCATGGTTTATCCACCTAAACTAGGTTGTGGTTTGAACCATCTTCTCTAGGTATGTCCTATCAAGGTCCTTCAGTTGTATGTTGAAGCATATGAAATTCGATTATCTATCATAAATTATCTTCAGTTGGTAAGGACCATTTACCTAACTAAATTAATCTAAAGGTGTAACATAGTCCATCTTCCTTAAGTATAACTTATATAAATTCTCAATTAACATGCCAGTATAACCATTGCATAATCTCATCCTTATTGTCACTCTAAGAATGTAAGTAGTATAATCATGAAGAAACAATTTCTAAGACAAGATAAGAGTCTCAACAAGATTATATATAGAATAAAGCACAAATACATCAAAGTGTAATCTCTAGATTATACAATTTGTCACAAATATGCAAAGTTCCCCAAATTTAGATACAATCAAGACATAATTACTTAGCAAGGGTTACGTCAAATCCCTAAGAAGGGAGTTAGCCTCTCATGTGCAAGGTGTAAGCCTCCATTGATGATAAAGACTCCATCTCCATGAGCTCAGAATTATGCTCCCTTCTTCTTCTTCTCCCTTTCTCAATATTTCTCTCTCTGTATCTTTTACCAAGTCAAACTTAGTGATAGATAATGATGGGTGGTTGATATATAAACTGAAAATTCCCTCTAAAGAGATCATATTTCGTAGCCTTTCAAATTCTAAAAAAGTTAGAGACATCCCTAAAATCAAGGAAACAAACTTTGACTAAATCAAAGTGTGATAGCTCAGCACTTTGGCAGGATTTAGTACATTATTCTTCTGTATTTTTGACCTATCAATTGTCCAAATTACCCTTTCCTCTTAACATAGAAAATATAGTTCTATGAGTCATCTTTCCAAATCATCAAACCATTTAGAAATTGGATTTACAACC